TAAGGCTTCTCACAGCGTCCCGAGATTGACTATAACGAAACTTATTCATCCGATATGGATGTGATTACTTTTTGCTACCTTATCAGTTTCGTAATTTCCAAAAAAGAAATTGAGTATGCAACTGATAGATGTAGTAACTACATATCTATGGGGATCTTGATACAAAAATTTATATGAAAGTTTCCGATGGACTTACATTGATTGGATCAAATATTTCCAACCCCGGAACACGCTCTCAATTTAGCTGAGGCGTTTACTTTACGGTTCGAAGCAATCTAGAAGAACATGGTATAACCATCTGAGTGAGTATTTGACTAGTTAAGGATATATGAACAACGAACTATGCCCGTGCGTGTTCATTAAGAAGCCACATTCCGGTTTTACGATTCTTATAGTTTATGTCGATGACATGAACTCATCGGAACTCCTAAAAAGCTCGAAATGACTGCCACGCACCTGAAGTCAGAATTTGAGATGAAAGATCTAGGAAAGACTCTATATTATCTCGGTCTCGATATAGAGCACCGTTCAGATGGAATCTTAGTACATCAACCGAACTACACCCAAAATTTGTTACATTGCTTTAATGAGGATAAAGCGAAGCCTTCAAGTACTCATATGGTCATTTGATTGCTACATACAAAACGAGATCCTTCCGAATGAGGATGATGAAGAGATTTTGGAGCCTGAAGTTCCTTATCTAAGTACGATAGGGGCTTTATTGTACTTAGCTCAATGCACTAGACCGATATCTCTTTCGCTGTTAATCTTTTGGCAAGATACAGTAATACACCAACATGCAAACACTGGATTGGTGTTAAAGACATATTCCATTACCTTAAAGGTACTACGTATCTGGGCTTGTTTTATCCTTACGGATCCTTGAGTAATGCCGCACTCCCTTATCTTGAGTCGATTCCCACCTTGTTGGTAATGTCAACGTAGGATACTTTTCTAATCCATACAAGGCGTGCTCTCAAACGGGTTATGGCTTTACCATTTGAGGCACCGCAATCTCTTGGAGGGCAACTAAGCAGACCTTAGTTGCCACTTCGTCTAACCATGCTGAAATTTTTGCCTTACATGAAGCAACTTAGGAATGCTTCTGGCCGAAAGCAGTTGTGGGCCATATTTGAAGCTTTTACGATATTTACTCCATCGTTGACATCCCAATGACGATCTATGAAGTAACGCAACATGCATCAAGCATCTCAACAAGGGTTACATCAATGGAGATAACACCAAGCATATTGCATTGATGTTCTTTTCTCATATCAATAGCAAAAGCATCAGAAGATTGAAGTCACACAAATCCATTCGCAAGACAATCTGGCTAACCTCTTCACCAAATCACTACCGAATGCGACATTTCAGAAACTTGTTCAAGGAATAGGTATGCGTAAACTTTCTGAGTTATAACATTGTTAGTTCTTTTTGGAATTATGTCAAACTCAGGGGGAGTATCCTAAAGTATACTTGCTTAATCTTAATGTACTCTTTTTCTCTACGATTAGGAGCATTTTTTCCCAATCTGAGTTTTTGCTACCTAAAGAGGTTTTGACGAGGCACCCACCTTAGGTTGATCATATCCCATCTCGTAGATGTTTTATTTGATTTTGCATTACTCACGCATTTTTCCTTAGACTAAGGATTTTGTCCCTACTCGGGTTTTACCATAACCTTAGGGTTTTATGTGTGACTTAGTTCTATATGCAAGTTCCTAGTTTACTTTGAGACTAGTATGCATGTTCCCAGAATCAGTGCCGACGAGTTGACTTTCTCAACTCTACATGATGCCGAATCTACTTGAGTATTTACACACTCAAGGAGAAGTGTTAAAAACTTTTTATCTAAGTGTGATTGTGTAAATCCTAAATTAGATTTGATACTAGTTATTCTTCCCTATTAGGACTTGTATTCCTTGGAGAATAATGATTCTTGCCTCCTTTATTACTATAAATAAAGGCACCGCGTAGGGGGAATAACATATCCTCTACATAACCCTACAAACACATCTCTCTACTCTCTCTCTCTCTCCCAGTAAGATACAATAAGCCATAATAATTTTTTGTGTTTTAACAAATGATCTATATTTTTAAGTAGTCTTCAGTTCAGTTTTTTAAAATAGTGCAACCAAACAAGAATTAAAGGCCCAAAACTCAAAAAGTATTTTTGAGTTTGAAAAGTTGTATTCAAGTTGAATACCAAATAGACCTTTAAGAATATTATTCTTTCCACCATCATTTTTTCTTCTCACTGAAAGTACAAAAAGTTTAGACACAATTCTTGTAGTTTAATTTGTTTTTAGACATATGTAATTGAACACCTTTATCTCTCTTTTTGTGTTATTTGGTTCAATTTTAGTTGTCATAACATTGTTGAACAACGAAATAAATTCGGGCTTCATTATATCAGAACTGGATCCTCTCCAAGGCAAACCCTCGGGATCCTGCTGAGCGACAAATACGGGCCATTGGATTTCGATCCAATGGCTACAATTATTATAACTTTAAGAGGGACCCTTTGTTTGTAGCCGTTGGATCAAAATCCAACGGCCCGCGTTTGTCGCTCAGCAGGATCCCAAGGGTTTGCCTCGAAGAGGATTCAGGTCCCATTATATGTATCTACAAGGCACATTCACAATTCTCTTTGGTATTAAAATATTGGGGAGAAATATTTTCTAAAAGATGACGTTTATACGTACTTGTAGGCTTGTTGCTACAAAACATTTGTTACTAAAAAATGAGTAGGAATTCTTACTCAACTCTTTTAGGGCTTTTTGCTCATGATCAAAATTGTTCATATTATAAATCACACTGGAAAGATCACCTCTGCAAAAAATGAATTAAAACTAAGGTTGTTTAGTTAATCTATTGTAGTAAATGTATAGATGGCTCGTAATGCTTTTACTAATTCCGTTCATTTATTTTTATACTATTCGATGACTAAACGATCTTAATTTTAATTGATTTTTTACAGAGGTGATGTTTTTAAAGTGTGATTTATAATATGAACGGTTTTGATCATAAACACAAAGTTCTATGAATCAGCAACGAGAAATTTTAAGTAGGAATTCCTACTCATCATTTGAGTAGCCAAATATTATTCATGTATATTACGTGTTTTTCTTTTGCCATTTGTCACATGAGAGGAAGGGGACTTTAAAGCAATCCAACAAGATCCTCTTCGGATCCTGTTGGTGAGGATCATGGGGATTCATACATCGTGTCCATTTATTGCACATCGTGCGATCAGTTTTTGTCAAGTATTGTTTGTATTTAATTTTAAATAAAAATATTTAAAATGATTTCTAATCACACGATATATGATGAACAAATATGATTCACGGATCCCCGAAATCCTCACAAAGAGGATTCGGCGAGGATCCGAATTCGAAAGCAATAACAAAAGATAAAGGCCGAGGCAAATTCGCAAAAAAGCAAAGCCAAACGATAAGTGAATCGGCACAAATACTAACTGAAGTCAATAATCTCAACCATTTACTTTTCATGTCTTCAATTAGTAGGGTAAAGAAACAGTCGAAGTCAAATATCGTTTAATTTTTGTTTGATCATAATCATAGGAAAAATGATTAGCCACTAGCTAATATTTTGTATGATTTATTACAAAGTAGACGATATGAATCATGAGAAAAGTTAAAGAGGCTCTGCTAAAAATGAGACTCTTTATAAATTTCTTATTATTTTATGTTTTTAATACAATATTTATAATATTGGTATGGACATTAATATTAAATTGTAAGGTAACATACTCCATATAAATTCCCACTTTAAAAAAATCCTTTTATCATTTCTCTCGAATCATTGGTGTGTTGCACGATGACCCCCGACAACAATGATGTACATATCTTGCAGGATTATACGAGACAGCTACACCCACACTTCAGCAATGATCATTAAAAATACGTCTATTTATTTGAATACAATTGTATAAAACCGAAAAACTAAGGATTTAGTTAAATTATTTTGTAGAATTCGTTGCAAAACAGTACTGTTTAAATGATTACATGATCTCATTTGATGTGGATGCTAAAAAGGGTCATTGATTCAGATAGATACTGTCCTGTTTATAGCATGCGACACTAGGTTTTGAGTGTTCAACACAATCCCCACATAAAGTGTGGCCGCAATAAGAAAATCATCGATTGTAATCCCAACTTTGGCATTTTTTGAGCCGCTTTGTTTGAAGATAAAGACTGCCCCCCACCATTGCTTTCCTTGTCTCTCTCTCCCCTTCCCCTTTTCCTTTTTATCTTTCTGAAACGAGGACTTGATTTGTGATTTAAGCTACGATATGTGGATTATTGTATTACGGTTAATGTACTACTTTATGGGTGATTTTGTACTCATGCATATAAATTGATGTATGTTAGGGAGCCATCGATTAAATATGATTGTCTCGATCTCAAATGGAAAGGTAAACTCTGTGTTGAACTACGTATATACAATACATACAATACAGATTCTCGACTCGTTAAAAGACTTGAGTCCAAGAAGATGAAGATGCATGCATGGTGTTTATTTACATATCGTAAGATAAAGCCAAAAGACAGTCCAAATCCATCTATCCACAACTCAAGCATGAAAATAAAAAAATAAGAAGTTTTAACGAAAATACTACATGTACTGTTTTTATTCTTAAAAGTCACTCTGATACTATTCATTACAATACATGTTTATCACTTTAATTAAAATTTAAAAATTTTAAATTATTTTCATTAGTTTTCTTTAAAAAATAAATTCAACATTAACAGATGTGCAGTTGAATAGTGAATTCACTCACGGAGTAAAAACAAAAATGACAACAGAAGACTTGTGTAAGCGTCTTTAATCCTGTCTGCGAAAATTTTATTGTTTCGTCTCAACAATTTTCGCTCTCTTTTCTAAAAACCTTTTGTCATTTGAGATGATTGAACACACATGAGGTTAGAGTCAGTTTGTCGGAGAAAGATCAGAACACTTCGTAGTTGTGATATTTACATTTTTCAGCATTTTGGTTAAGATCAAACGTAGTATCAGTTCTTATTAGTTTAATATAAGAATGTAGACCAATATTTCACACAATTTAAATTAAATTTTTTAAGAAGAGGGCTCACTTACAATAGTTTGCTATTAACACTATCGCGTGTAACTTAAGCGTTGAACTACTGCTCCTGTCCCACGAACCCACCAATATACTTGTATGTATATATATAGGAGATTGTTATTAGTATTCTAAAAATCTTATTTGGCACTCCAAACTTTTTATATTTAGAAAGAAAAATACACTTGTGAGGAGTGCCAAATAAATTTTTTGAAATGCTAATAATTGTTCCTTATATATATACAGAGAGCTTAAGGAAAGGGATTCCCATTTTTTGAAAAAAATGGGGATTAGGTGTGGGGCCCACTTCACATCAAATTTCAACGATCCGAACCGTCTATTTTGTTAGTCTCGATTCATAGATCATCCTTGCAAAAATTCAATTCAATCCGAAACCATTTGCCTATTTAATTATCAATATCAAATTTCATATTTTCTTATATAACAAAGTATTCGTTCATTTCCTTGAACCCAATTAGATGTCTTAAACATTTCCAATTTAGCTAATATTTTGCAAGGATCTATGAATCGAGACTAACAAAATAGACAATTCGGATCGTTGAAATTAGATGTGAAGTGGGCCCCACACCTAATCCCCATTTTTTTCAAAAAATGGAGATCCCTTCCCTTAAGCTCTCTGTATATATATATATATATATATATATATATATATATATATATATATGACCTACAATCAATAATAAAAATAAAGTTTTAACGAAACACTTCCGATACAATTCATTTTTAACGAAGATGACATTTTTACTTTAAAAAATCACTCATAGTACTATTCACTCCTAACATATTTTTATCTTTTTTATTAAAATTTAAAATTTTCAAATCTTTTTCATTAATTTTCTTTAATAAAAAATTTAAAGGTGAATGGTGGTGAAGAAGCTTTTCCTACTTTCCACTTGTGATTTTGATTAATTGCCACGGCAGGTGTTTGGGTACAGATCTTAAGGGGCCCCCAGAGTAGTGACACGACTAACTTAGATGGGGCTAAGAAAGCGGCCCCCACCAAACCGTCTCAACTGGTTCGAAGATGGGATAACACCATCATCATGGATCTTAAGGCCCAAAACCCCTAGCCCAAATTCCAAGTACTCCATGTGAATGTCATGGTTTCTTTGAAGTTGCCTTCTTTATCTTATATGGTTTCTTAGTTCTTTATTTCTCTTTATCTTATAAGGGAGTGGATTCCTATTTTTTGAAAGAAAAAAACAGGGGATTAGTTATGGGTCTTACTTCGCATCAAATTTCAACGATCTGAACTATTTATTTTGTAAGTCTCGATTAATAGATCATCCTTACAAAAGTTCAATTTAGTCTGAAACCATTTGCTTATCTATTTTGTCAATTTCTTTGAACTCAATTAAATGCCTCAAATATTTTCGATTTGGCTAATATTTTAAGATGATGATCTATGAAGTACAACTTAAAAAATTAAACAGTTTAAATAGTTAAAGTTCAATATGATATGGGCCTTACAACTAATTCTCATTTTCATAGAATAAAAAAAATGAGATTCCTTCCGTCAAATGCTTCCTGTAGTTTATATGTTCTTGTCCTCTTTATTCATGCCTTTTGATTGGAGCAAAGCAGAGGTAGTGTGATACAATTACTCTAAAAAAAAAAAAATTTGTTGATTCATCACAGATATTAAAATAGGTAAAAAAAACATAAACGGCTGAAATTATGAAACAAAATTGCACGACAAGAGAACATTCTTGTTATTATTTTTTGTAGAATGCAACGATATATTTACACTAAATATAAAAGGATGTATTTACATTAAATATAAAAGAATGAAGGACTCACGCTAAGCTACACAAATCACAAAAGTTTATCTTAATAATTTAGTATCAAACTCGTTATAAGCGAGATTTGAGTATAAAAAATTTCTGACTTGCAAATGAAAATGAATACCACTAAATTTGAATCTCTTTATTAAATATATTTTCATTCATAATCGCAATTTCCCAAAATAAAAAAACCAATAACCTGAATGAGATTTCATGCACACATCTGACATCCACGTGTGATGCTCGGCTGACATGGACAGCTCAGATCCATCAGCACAAAAAATAGAATATTCAGATTCGTCCATCTAATATTATATCAACCATGGTTCCAAGTGGAATTACCAACACGTCCCCTCACTAGGGATATTTTATTAAATTATGAGCGTTAATGAAAAGGATTTGAACAAATTTTAATTTAATCAAAAATCACAATAAACTATTATTTAATTAAAATGATTTAAAATTTAATTATAATGACATAAAACTATTCATATATCAGACTCCACAATCATAAAAACTTACGAACTGAAGTAAAAGCTCAACAAATAGTAAATATGTTTTTCAAACGTACCCCTGACAGAACCTAAAGAAGCCCGTTTATTGTCTTTGCATTTTTTGTCATGTATGGGGCTTTGGTATTGCCTCGTTTTCCGCACCCACCACTGTCAGGCAAGGTTCTAAAAAACGCTAGGCACTAGTTGGGCGGCGGGCTAGTGCCTAGCGCCCAGGCGGCCTAAGCGGATTTAGGTAAATTTTTTGTATATCCTGTGAATAAGTGCATAGTGACTCTTACAAAACAGGTAGAAAATGTACAAAAGAAATATTTCTTTCAACAAATGAAGTAATTCAAAAAGTCATCTATTTTCTTTAGGTGATAATTTGGGAGGCCAGTGGCGCAACAAAACTGTTGGCATCATATATTACCGGAACAAGTCTGGTTGAGCAGTTCCAGCAATACAAGAATAAGTCCCATGGTGAAAGTCTTCGCTAATGGTAAATTTTGATCACCCTAATACTAAACAGCAGCTCAGAAGCCAAATAACAGATGAGCAATCAGATTATAACTAACATATCAATTCTTGCTGCGAATTTTAACATGCAACCAATCCAAATGATCTTTTTCCTTCCAATAACAAAGTTGTAATAAAAGAATCACTACACCTTTTCCTTCCTGCCCGAGAACATTTTCTTCTGGAACAAAGCAGTTCTAAAAAACAAGTTCACATCTGCAAATCATAATAATATGGTATACTTCAGAACAAGTTTTCATAGGATAAAATTAACAACAATGAGTCAAATGTTCGAATGCTACACATGCAGACACTGATAGAAAAGAAAATCGAGCTACGAAAGTTACTAGGCATCAAACTCTTCTTCACCATATCCCTCCAAGACCCTCTCCGTGTCGGACTCGAACTCAATTTCTTCATCATCTCCTTCTTCTTCTTCCGTGTCCTCATCCGATATAAAATCTTCTTCATGAAGTTCTTTTACTTCAACATTTTTAGAACTCCCCCTAGGCTCTAAGGAACTACCTACCTCCGATGTCTCTCCAATTCCTGAGCCAAACTCAAGTTCTTCATCACCACCCTCCACAATCCATCCTTGAGCCATACTAGCTTCACTTGCAAGTAGTATGTCCACTTTCTTCTCCTTTTCTCTTTTCTTCTTGTTCATAATCCTTGCATTAAATTGGACATAGACTAAATTATTTAACCTTGTTGTATCTAGTCTATTCCTTTTCTTTGTATGTATACCTTCACAAGAACTCCAATTTCTTTCACAACCGGATGAACTTGTAGTCAATGAGAGTATCTTTATAGCCATCCTTTGCAAATTAGGCACATCATTTCCATAATTATACCACCATGCAGCTAATGAAAAAAAAAGCACACAATTAGTAATGAAAAATAAGTAGTAAACTCAAATTTAATAAATAAAATATAAGCATATGTGAATAATATTCATACCCGGATTATAGTTTTCATCATTCTCAACGCATCCAAGTTCGGCCAAATGTCTTCCAAATCCACCTTCTTTTACTCTATACTTGTGCATCTCAACATTTACCACTTGGTTTTGAAGCTCATAGTTATTGGGGAAGAACTTCTCAACACAAGTAAAAATCCCCTCCATGACAATTGGATCATGTTGTATGCTTTGATCCTTGAAGAAATAATAAGGGTTCAAGAGGTAGCCCGCCAAATGCAATGGACTATCAAGCCGCTCACGAGCTTTTTCATCAATAATCTGAAGAATTGGTTGATAGTTGGCCTCATTGTTCTTGAATGTCTCTTTAATCTCCATCTTTGCTTTTTGTAGCTCTCTATACAAAAACCCCATTGATGGCTTCTTATCCCCATCCACAATTCGAAGTAGCTTGAATAAAGGTTCAAACACTTTCAAGCAAAGCGAGACCCCACTCCAAAAATGTGTATGCACTATGGTAGCATATGCCGTTTTCCCCTTTGTAGTCTTGACATGTTTGCATTGTTCTCATTCATCACTAGCAACCATAACCTTCAAGTCTTTTTTCTTATCCATTAAGCTTTGCAATGTGAGGAAAGAAGTTGCAAATCTAGTGACTCCAGGCCTTATTATGTCTCTTTTCTTGGTACGCTTCCTCATTAATGCCAAAGTTTTATGATGTGCATAAATGAAGATGGTGAAAGCCTTTGCCTTGTCAATAACTCCTTTGAACCTAGGGAGATTACCAATCCCTTGAAGCATGAGATTCAAAGTATGAGGGGCACATGATGTCCAAAACATATTCGGCCTCTTTTTCTTCATCATGTTTGCCGCCGCCATATTGTTAGAAGCATTATCGGTTACCACTTGAATCACATTTTGAGGCCCAATTTCTTCAACACACTTGTCAACATATTCAAAAATATATTCCCCAGTGTGTGCTTCACTAGAGCATTCCTTAGAAGAAAGAAATATGGTGCCTTCCTTGCAATTGACACATAAATTCATTATAAATTCATTATGCTTCTTCTTTTTCGGTCACTCCAAGCATCGGTCATAATTGAGCAACCATTCAAAGCCCACTCTTGTTCATGTTTCTTGAGTGACTTTTTTACCCTTTCTACCTTTTCTTTCAATAATGGCTCCCTTAATTCGTATTGGCTTGGAGGTAAGTAACCCGGGCCAAATTGACCAACCGCTTCCATCACACGCTTAAAGCTATCATTATCAATAGCATGGAAAGGAATACCAGCTTCATACACCCATCGAGCCACATATTGATCCACTTGATGTGCTCTTTCCTTCCAAATTGCAT